GAAGCAGACTGCAGTGCCAGGCATGTAAGCAGCTGACCAACAGACCGGACAGGCACTCTGAAGATGCACATGCAATATTCTGGCCACATAGGGAAGTTGGGGTCTGAGTGACAATTTATTAAAGGTGCATTATGTAGAAATGAAGTAAATATAATAATCCTGTGGAAACAGTTGGTTACTGCATCCTCTTTAAACAGCTTTTTGCTGGCCATCGTCAAATTACAATAGTCAGCGCTGCAGCATTAGCTCGCAGGAGACACAGCAACCCCACGCTCACTGATGATAAACAGTAGTTACGTCACTCCTTCCTTTGTTTTGGAGGGAGACAAACTGACAATCCCTTCAGCCAGCTGGATATGAAATATGTTTCTGTATAACCCTTCTTCAAAAATGACAAACAGATTATTATGGGATTTTCTTACTGTAAAAGTCTTACTATATTCTTACATACTGCACCTCTAACCCTGTAAATGGTAATTTTAGCACATACTGGCTCAAGAAAAAAAAAAAAAAAAATTGAAACGGTTGCAAAGTTTTTCTTTAATACACGGCATTTATATCAACACATATTTTGTAAGTACTCTGAAGGTAAAATTGTGCATTTGTCAAACATACCTGCAGTCAATATTTTTTATGAATTGATCAACAATATTCCTGATGGTTGAAGTGTTTAATCAGGGTTTGATTAACTCAATCTATAGTGAGTTAAACTTCATTGTATTATAATCTAGTTCATGGAATTTAATAATAATAACAAAAATAAGAATGATGCTAAAAACAAGTGTGTGTGTTTGTGTGTGTGTGTGTATGCCAATACAAATTCTGAGAAATAAAATTATTTCTGGACCAACAGTCCTGTGCACTACGTGTGTATCTTGTGATTTCTGAGTTGATTACAGAGCAATACAAGTCCAGAAGCTACGTTGGTGATGATCTTGTACTGATGGTGAATAATCTAATCTGAAGAGCTTGTCAAAAGAGGTCAATCTGGGTAAATGTCAAACTGGATAATAAAAAAGTGAAATGGTTCATTACAACTGATTTCCTTGTCATTTGATTATTGTTGTGATTCAATTACATTTAAGATATTTCTGATATTTGAAGAATGTTTTAAGACCTCTTAAGGGTTTGGAGGATGTCCCACAACTGCTGAGGACTCATTTCAGATCAGACCTCCATCTTCACAGAATAAAGCATCTGGGACAACAGAGGTTAATCTGAGTGCAGACTTTGACACAAAGCTGCACACCAACAACCAACCAGCTGCACTGATCTACTTTATCTGACAGACACTAAAAGGAAGGAACAAATAAAGAAATCTATAAAAAAATCACGTTTTTGAATATTTATATATATATATATATATATATATATATATATATATATATATATATATTTTTTTTTTTTTTAAAGAAAAGCCTCGCTGAGGTGTGTCATAAGCTCTGAAGCTGGATCACTCTTTGATTTTCTACCCTCAAATGGGTCACATGTGCAGGAGGTCAGAACTCATTTGTCTCCTTCCACAGTCTCCAACTCCTCTTGGGGAATATCCTAACCCTAACCCAAACCCAAAAATAAAATATTCCCATGATATTTATAACACATGCACTTGACTCCTAACTTAACACAGTTTAAACAAAACTGAAATAATATCCGTTTATACTAATAATCATGACGTAAGCAGACAGTGAAAGGGGTTTTCTTGCTGTTTAGCGATCAGTGATGACAACAGATGTTTTAGCTCAAATGTTTTGCTGAGGACTGCTGATTCTTGTCTCACAATTCAAAAGAGGCACCATGCAGCTCAGGCACACATTTAAGCGTGCTTGAGTCTGGATCTAAAGTTAAAAGCATGATGCTCCACACACGGAACGAGCAAACCTCACAGCTGGTGTAAAGGTGGAGTGGCTGATCTTTCTGTTTTTGGGGAGATGCTTCATTACTGAGATATGCTCCTGCCTCTGCTGCTCACTATCATTTCTCATAGGCTTGTGTCCCAAATGTAAAAATAACCGGATGTTTGATCTGAAACTGTTTTCTCTGTGAAATTAAATCACATCAAAGTGTCCCAGCTGATCTGAGCTCACTCAGGATAAACAAAACATTAACTAATCATACAAATGATTAAAAGACGAGACGACTTCAGCTTTAAGAAACAAAATGTACATCTGACTGGATTGATGAGACAACAGCTGGTTGCTGGAACATCTGCTCTGAGGTGGAGTTATGTTCTCATAAAATAATGCAATTCACAGATTTTTCCACAGAAGGTCAAAGACTACTTTAAAAACTTACATTTTAGCAGAAAATAATATTGAATCTGCAGCACTTCTGTTTTTCATTATTTATTAGTACTATATATATATATATATATATATATATATATATATATTAATGTGTTTAAAATTGTATTATTATTTATTTTTTTGATGAGTTTAAAAGTTGAACAGTCTTCGTTGATTCCAAAATTGAAGGAATTAAATTTTCCACGTTACATTTCGCTAGCAGATCTGTCTTTTGTCTGGTCAGAATTTCTCTAAACTGAGGCCAGTCAAGTCATTTTCTACAACAGGTAAGAAATTAATTCACCTTTTTTCAGAAACCCGCTTCAAAGCCCTTTTTCATACGAAGGACAAGGGAACTTCACTTGGGCTTTGGCTCCTGAAGACATGTCTTCTCTAATCTAATAAACATTCCCAATTCAAATGAGGTACTGAGTGCAGCAGGTTTCCAGTAGTTGAATATGATGCTTTGTCAAAACTGATAGTCTTTAAAACTCTCTTTACATTTTAGTTGTACCAAGTTGGTGAGAAAAAAAGATAAATAATCAGGTTCAAACAGTTTCGTTGTTCAGTTTTCAGCGGCAAACTCCATTTAAAACAGATCAGCTCACCTCTACATAATACATTCAAGCGCTGACTTTTACAGACGTCTGACTTGGCATTTAAACATGATGGGTTGTATCTGATATAGAATTAAATCTATTTAATAATGCCCTATAAGCAAACTTCCATCCATCCATTTTCAGCCGCTTATGCAGAGTCGGGTCGTGGGGGCAGCAGCCTAAGCGGAGAGGCCCCGACTTCCCTCTCCCCAGCTACTTGGGCTAGCTCCTCAAGGGGAATCCTAAGGCGTTCCCTGGCCAGCCGAGAAACAGTCTCTCCAACGTGTCCTGGGTCTTCCTTTGGGCTTCCTCCCAGTTGGACGTGCCCAGAAAACCTCACTAGGGAGGCGTCCAGGAGGCCTCCTGACCAGAAGCCCGAGCCACCTCAGCAGGTCTACTCTGAGCCCCTCTCGGATGACTGAGCTTCTCACACTATCTCTAAGGGAGAGCCCAGACACCCTGCAGAGAAAACTCATTTTAGCCGCTTGTATCCATGATCTCATCCTTTCAGTCACTACCTAAAGCTCGTGATTTTAGATGAGAGAATGAGAGCTTTGCCTTCTGGCTCAGCTCTCTTCACCACGACAGACCGGTCCAACGCCCGCATCACTTCAGACGTTTTAGACGTAGTAAATTAAGCTTCGCAGACATCCATGAGGTCAGGAAAGAGAGCTGATGGGCTGCATCTGATCAGAATTAAATCTATTTTAATAGAGACCTATTAAACTTATCAGACCTCCAGCTCCATCAGGATCAGAATGTTCTGATCCAGTAACAATAGAATGTTATTTTTGCAACAGCTTTGTCTGCTGACAGCATCATTGTCAAGTCTTAATCACAATAAAATTGACTGTTTACACTTTAAACGTCTTAATAAATGGTTATTGTGTGGAATTTGAGGGAGGACATGTTGCGAAATCTATTTAATGATGTGCAAGTTTACATAACAGAGCTTGTCTTCTATTTATGAAGCTTTATTTGTTTTGATAACTTTAAATAAGTTCAAAATAAAAAGAGCGGGCTCATCAGAAGTCAGAATAGTCATTTTAAAAGGCGGAACATCCATCTTTTATCAACACTTTTCTGTTTTGAATAAACTTCTTTGATGCTAACTGAAAGTAGCACAGGAGCTGCAGAGACCCACGTCACAAAGTAAGAGTAATAAAGTAAAAGTAATAAAGTGTAATAATGAAGGTTTCATTTCTTTAGATAAGATGTTGTCATGTCATAGATATGACTAGTGTTGTCTTCTCAATAAACCAGAATAATAACTCACGGCCACATGAACGTTAGTAATTGTGGGCACTAATTGTGGGCACTGATGTTCTTGACTTCACTGATTAGTGTCACGAGCCTCTCTCAGATGAAGCCACTGCTTTAATTCAAACACTACTTTTTAACAGAACAGTAGATAAGCAAAACTGCTCAAATGGACTTTTCAGCCATTTTCAGTCGTGTTCTTGTGTAAATAATTACTGTTGTGAAAAGCTTTAGCTGCAAACAGGATTTACCGAGCAAACCCACTGTCCCAAGTGGCAAAAAAATACATTTAATTTCTTGCTGGACTTGACCTCTGGATGCACTGGAAACACCACATTTTGTTGCTGCTGGTGAAATTTACACATGTGAAAAGCCAATAAGCATGTGCATATTTGATGGCAGCATTACTGAATTACTTTTATTCAGACCACTAAGATTTGTGGGAGCTTAGCTGCTTTAGGATGACAGCAAAGCGCTTAGGTCATGGTTCTAGCTGTTACCTCACACTGAGCTATCTAAAATGTAATTATGCATGACTTTTATACCAATAAACAATTCAAAATGATGGAACAATCTATTTCAGAAATGAGTAAAGGCATCAAAACATCCACTTTTTTCTGAAGTCTCTCTTCTTTTTTGCATGCAGTGATAAAAATTAGCTGCACATTTGTAATGGCCAGCCTCCATCTTGTTTTGTTTGGACCACCAAAGGAGAGCTGGCACAAGAAAAAGAGTTCCAGAGCAAAGCCACGCTGCCAATGTCTGCTTTTTTACAATATGACTGGAATGCAAGGATTAAAATTCTTTGGAGCAATTGCACTGTTTGCAGTTTTATGATGCATAAACGAGTTAGTACCTTGTGCATGACGAGACAGTAGAGAGTGAGTGTAATTAGCAGTCCTCCACAGACGGATGCAAGGATGAAGCCGAGCTTGTACGTGTCTCTGGTCGGTCTTCTCTGAGAGACCTTCTCTGAGTTCCTTTCATAGCTGTCTGAGGAAAAGTACACATGAGCTATGATCACAGTTTCCCCCAACATCTGCGTAATTCATCACACAACATTCCTAAAGATTGAATTTCACACCTGTAAAAAATTGTGCAGTAGACTCTGCGGGTGGCTCTGTGGTGGAGCCATAGATTTCTGAGTATTCGTGCTGGCATCTCCAGTCAACTGGTGAGTCTCTGGTTGTCACCAGCTCCCAATAAACTGACAGCACATCTGAAGCCTTCTGCAGAGCATTTAAAGGAGACCCGTGGTAGACTATTTCAAAACTCTCAGGCTTATCCTGTGACGGATTCAGAACAGCATTGTTTCAACATTCCTGAAAGACAAAAAAATTATGTATTTGAATAAACTGTTTCCAATAGTCAGAGTTCACCTCGATCTCTTCGTTGATCTGGGGCACACATCTCTGAGAGTAAATGTTAAGGATGAGTGCTCTCAGCGACTGAACATAGCCATCGTTTATCGAGCCCCGTTTGTACTTGAAGTGGGTGGTGAGCAGCTCCAGTATCCAGGGTAGAGCAGCTTTCACAAAGCAACATTTGCTCTAACGGAAGAAACAAGAAGATGAGCAATTCTTGACTTTTCATGTCAAACCAGTCTGATTCAAGGTTTAGCGGCCTTACCAACATCCTCCGCTCTATGAACGTGTATGTTATCGAACATCCACTTCTCAACTGGTTATCCATCTGCAGAAGGAGCAGTAGGAATATCTCAAACACGGATCAGCAGACAGATCATTGTGATGTCAGTTTGACACCTACCAGCTGCCTGACTGTCAGCAGGTGCTCCCTTGTTATTGAGTGTCTGCATGGACCAGGGACCACAGCCATTGTCAGGGAGACGCTCAGGAACATAAGGACACACAGACACTTTACCTGCAACTGACACAATTCATTATCAGACCAGCTGTAGATAAATGGTCAATGGTCTACACTTGTATAGTGCTTAATCAAGTCCAAGGACTGCAAGGTCCTTTCCACTACAGTAAATGCATACACACACACACACACACACACACACACACACACACACACACACACACACACACACACACACACACACACACACACACACACACACACACACACACACACACACACACACACACACACACACACACACACACACACACACACACACACACACACACACACACACACACACACACACACACACACACACACACACGGTAAAAGTAGAACTATTTCCATTGCTTTATGTAGCGGACACACTTTACAGAGCTGGGATTCTCTAATTTCCCTCTGGGATTAATAAAGTGTTGATTGATTGATTGATTTTAATTGACAACTGCAAATTAATTATGACCAATAAGGTGTGATGATTCCATATAAATATGAAATATCAATCTGATCTTGGAATGTTTAATCAGAAGATTATAGTTACTTTTACTTGTTAAGGGATCATAAACACACTTCGTATTAATTCAGACAGAGTCAGGTATATAGTTAAAAAGGAATTTTATTCTTTTCTAAACTAATGATTATGACAAGGTATGAATAATGAGATGTGATGGAGTGGATATGCGGTGATGGAATGTGATGTGAGGTGGTGTGATGTAAGTTAGATGTTTATCAGAATCTTTGTATCTGAAAGAAATTATGAAATCTGGGTGTAAAAGAATTTGTTGTCTGCTATAAACTAGAGGGTTGATAATTAAAACAGCACTAGACGCAATCTGTTGTGTCTAAAAACCCTGGCGGAGACTCCCAGCATATCCAGACTTCAAGGCACCTGGATTTCGTAGATGAAATTCCAATACGACCCTTCCAGTCTTGAGATATCTCCAGGCCACAACAGTAGCTGGAATGCTTGTTTGCGTCCAAAGTGGATGTGGCTCTTAGGGAGCCATCAGGCTGTGTCCGCTTGTAGCGTGAAAACAGGTTTTGACTGTATGTCAAAAGAGATGTCTCAAGGATGCTTGTTTCGAATTGGCCGGTTCGGAATTCCACTAGAAACTGAATAATTTAGGCAGTAATTCTTGTTTTATTAAACTACTTAGTAATGATTTATGGCATATTCTGGCAAATCAGACCGTGCCATGTCTGGAAGGCTTTACCAAAACGTCCCACAGAAAGCCACGCCTTCCTTCAGATACAAGATTCTTAACACTGTGAAGAATCTTATGAGAGGTGAATATTAACCTTAATTTGTATCTTATGGTAATGTGTATGAGTGTAGATAATGATTAACTTGTTAAATCAAACACATAGTGATCATAAGATCTGCAATGGATCATTTTAAGAGCAATATTTATTTCAACTTTATTGATTTAAGCACAGGTTATTCAAACATTTCATTTAAACATCTTGTTCATTCAACCATATGATTAATTAACGTATAAGCTGTAAAGCCTTGTAGGATTTGTGTAGATTCACTTTTATTCTGAGTGAGGAATCCAGCAGTCTGGGGCAGAGAGAAAAAGGCTTTTGCGGGAGACCTTGATAGTTTATTTATGTCTGTGTTGAAGAACATTAAGTGAGCAAAAGGTTGATTTCTGGGTTTGAATCCTTTAACGCTCTGGCTTGTATGAAAGGTTACCGTGTTAATTTGATGGTGAAAATTGACCCTTTTGATTCATTTCATTTACATGAGCAAGAACACAATGGTTTGGAGTAAAGTTTGAACCTAAATGTGCAGCATCATCAATGACCGCTGATGACCTCAAAGGAACCTCGGCTGATCTGAGATAAGCTTTGAATTATTTTCACGTTTTGCCCTGTGACACAGAAGTGACACAGAAGCTTGACTGGACGTGTCAACGTGCAGACTAACTTCTGATGCTTGCCACCGAGCACCTTTTATCAAGCGTAGGAATAAAATGGGCTCCAGATGGACCTGAGCTTAGGCTTAAAACATGGTGACAAGCACGTGTTCTTTACACTGCAGGAAAGAATCTCAAAACATGAAGGGATTTTTTTTTGATTGATCATCCACAAGATTTATGCGATCTTGCATACACATTACTCTACTAAACCCACAAAACAGATGGAAGCTAAATGAAAAAACTGTATTTAAACAAACAGGATTTGTCTTCTGCTCAACCTCTGGCACTTATTGGGAATCAAAGGCGCTTTTTAGAAAGCTGAAAACCTAATAATGGTTTTATCTTTTACTTTCTTGGCATCTTCACACATTTCACTGGATGGTTTTAAGTTCATGTAAAACACCTAAAAGAACTTGGCTGAGCAAGAAAGAAAGGACAGTCTGCTGTCTGCAAAGACTTAACTTTAAAACAAACTCAGAATAAAACTCTTTGGAATCTGAAACAGAGAAATTAAGCTTTTTCTTTTTCCCCACCCCTAAGAACAATAGGATTCACACTTGACTATGGCTGAAAGTAATGACGAATTAATGTAATCTAATAAAACTATTAAATGTGGAAAATCCAGACACATGATTTTATTTTCTACTCTTTTTTTTTAAATATCTGCGTTAAAGCTATGAAGCTGCACGATGGCGCAAGAACATCTCAAATACACCCTCGTCTTGCACCAAACATAAGTGGGAGATTTATTTTTCCTCATTACTGAAAAAGTCTCACCTACCTTAGCTTTGCTCTGACTCAGGGTTGACACAGGGATGGTCATCTGGTACGTGTTTGACAATGGAAAACACCAAACTCCAGTGTCACACACATTGAAGCAGAGATCTTTCTCGTATATCCACTTCCACTCTACAGAAAGGACTTTAAGTAAATTTGACACTTCTTCATGTGGCGCTGCCCTTCAAAGCATTGCTTGATGTGCCCCTCCTTCCTTGAGTGAGTTCAAAATGAGACTGACTGTTTCAGCTGACAGACAACCCTCTTAAACACCTCCCACCTCTGCAAGTTTGACAAGGTAGAATATCCCAGCCCTCATAGGATGTGAGATGGTAAACTTGTGTTTTAGTCACTGATTATTTCCTATGATGTCCAATGAGATTATAAAAAAGAGAAATTGACACCAGAGCCTCTGCAAGAGTTGCTGTGAACGTCAAGTGTACGTTAACATATGTTTTTGTTTTGGAAACTCAATCCCGTAAAACTACTTTAATAGAAGCTGGCCTAAGATTTCAGTTTCTCCCAAACCAGATTAGATTAAATGCTATAACAGTGTTATCGTATACAGAAGTCCACTTTGTGAGGAGATCTAAAGCACCACATCTAACTGAATTCACCTTAACCCTCTAAGGCTCTAAATAAGTGTTGATAAAAGGACGAACAACTAAGTCCTTCAGGGGTACTTCTGAGTTAAAAATGCTCATGAAATACGTATGTGGAGCAGGCACACAGATAGGGTGGGGGACTGGGGGGATCTGTCCCCCCCAGATTCAGATCGACTCCGATTCGCCCCCCCCCCCCAACTAAGGCCAGAAAGAAAACAAAATCGGAGGCAAAGCACTTGAAGCTCCTTTTTCCAATTACATTGAATGCAGCATGATGTAAACAAACACCGACTCCAGAGGCGCCAAAGTGGTTGCTGCTAGGATGCAGGATGAAGCGAAAAAGGCAAGCAACGATTACTGCGTATTTAAAAAGACCAGCAATGTAAGTAGGCGGGACCGATCTGTCTGTTTATGCATGTTGGGTCAGTGTTGGGACTTACTCGTTATAAGCGCCAAAGCCTCATTGCTGACTTTAACAAGTCTCATCTACAAATATGATCCCTCATGAAGTTACTACTTTATATCAGAAGATAGTGGAGATGTGGAACCTTCAGGCAGAGCAATGTTTTGGAGTTTTTAGAGCTTGAAAAACGTCTCCCGCCAAGAGGCTTCCAGTCGGGGAGAGGAGGAGATGCGTGCAGCATGAAGAGCGCAAATTTTAGATAAAACGTATAATTGCCAGCAGATCTGGTCTTTGTTGACTGATCACTTTGTCTGGTCATGACTGACTCCGATTATGAAGCAGAATATTGACTCTGATGAAGAAATTCACTCATCCAGCCGGGACGATTGATGCTGCTGCAGCATCAGACAGCTGGTACTGCACGAGAGGTGTGTGGAGTTTACAAGCTCCAAACGTTGGGTTTGATGTTTGTTTAACCTTCTTTGGGACGTGTTGGATGTAGAAATGATGGTAAAAACACCGCTAACGTAATAGACGTAGCGACAATGTAAAAAAAAAAAATTTAAAAGGGGCAGATGCCAATGCGTTATGTATGGAAGTCAAGTGTGCCACATAATCATATAAAAAGTAAAATATAAAATTCAAAAAGAGATTTATATATTTATATATAAATAAAAACTTTCCAAATATAATGAAAATTTCTAAATAACATAAAAATACGAAGGAACATCTGTTGGTCAGGCTGAAAAGTTTGGGAACCACTGCTCTAAGTGATAAGTGAATTTCGTTTTTTTAATGTATTTTATGTGCAGTTTTTTGGGGCTTTTATGTTTTCCGTAAAGATTGGTATGCTGAAAATCATTTAATGTTTTGCATAAAGCATGAGGTTTTGATTAGTAATTGATTGGAAGAATAACAAATGACTGAATTAAATAGTGGAGCGCCTCTGACAGTGCGCCCCAGGGCAGCTGTGGCTACATTGTAGCTCATCACCATCAGTGTGTGAATGTGTGTGTGATTGGATGAATGATACACTGTAGTGTAAAGCGCTTTGGAGTCCTTACTCTGAGAGGCACTATACAGGTGTGGATCATTTAATATTCATGGTGTTGATCAGGCAGAGCTTTGCTGCCAGCGTTCCACTGCTTAATGGCTTCAAACATGTATATAAAAGTGTTAGTTTTTATTTAAACCATTGGATGAAATTACACAAACTTACTGAGCTCTAGTTAAGGCGCTTGCAATAGTTTGTGTATGTGTACGTGTGTGTATGTGTTTGGGGGAGGGTACACTGGAACTTTGTCCCCCCCCCCCCCCCCCCAGTTTGAAAATCCTATCTGCGCGCCTGATGTGGAGTAACCAGGTAGGTAGGTTTTAACAGTGCAAATCTGCAACGCCCGCCTCCAGAGGGTTAAGCTACATAGAGCTGCAAACTGTTTGATCATCAGATTTTACTGAAAGCTCAAGTCTATTGGGCTCTGTAGCTAGCTCTTCACCCAAAAGTCACATCACAACTTCATCTAACCTCTGACCAGAATCTGATTTCTACATCTTTAGACAAAATGCAAATGACGTTGTCTTTTGCTCTTGAGATGAAAAATAACAAATACTTCTTGTCTTTTCAGACCTTCTCCTGTTTGTGTCATTTTAAGCATTTAGGAAAGATTTGTCCAACAGGCTGCATGGTGGTGCAGTTGGTAGGGCTGTTGCCTCGCAGACAGAAGGTAGATGGTTTGAATCCTGTCTTTATGTGTGGAGGTTGTTCTCGTGAGTGTGTGTGTTTTCTCCAGGATCTCCAGCTTCCTTCCACTGACCAAAATATGGAGCTGTATTTAAAATTTATGGATCAGGGAACAAAACACCCCTCTGGTCTGTTTGGGAAGGAAATGCTAATTGAATCAGGGCTAATATTTAACAATAATTTTATATATTAGAGAAAACTTTGTTTAGAAAGCTTTAATTTAATCCATATTTTATTGAAATTTCAGTTTATAATCTGTATAAGTTGAAAATCCAGAGGAAACGGATATCTCTTGTACTCACAAATACTACTTGCACATTAATGGGCTGTAATGAGCTCAGAGGTCTGCAACCTGCTGCCTAGGGGTCACATGAGGCCCTTCGGTCCTAGACAGATGCGCTTTGTGAATAAAAGGAACACAGAGCCCAAATATAAGTTAGTTTCAGCAGTTCTTCTGTGCATCTATGCACAAAAATAAGCTGTTTTCTGATGGCAATTAGAACTAAAACTAAATATATGAAAGTTATTGATTGTTTCTTGGATGTTTCTTGGATTGTTCTCAAGGATGAAAAAATGTTTTATTTCAAAGTTGTAAACCTTTTCATTTTGAACAAATAAAGAACAGTTTTATTGTTATATTTCAAAATCTCATCAAGCAGGATCAAAAATGTATTTTTTTGTTTGTTTGTTTTTCTCCTAATGTTTAAATAAAATAAACAAAAAGCCACACGTGTCATCATAACAGCTCTTGGGATTGTGGACCTCTGGAAACATTTCTAGACGTCTTCAATGAAAATGTTACACGGTCCGTCTAGCTGTGATCAACATGAAGATGATCCACTCTCCACAGACCTCACACAGATGTCACAGAGAAGATTATTTACAGGTTTTCTATATGAAGTTGCATCATATAGCATCTAAAGTTCAGGATGACCTTCTGGTCTAAGCAGCAAACAAAACAATTGTATCTTACTCACCTAGCCATCCTTTATGTTGGAATACAATCTCGCACCATTTGAAAGACAGATTTTCCTGCCTGGAATGGCCTCATCCCATGATTCAAGTATTTGACATTTCTTCATGTTAAATTTGTGAAAATTAACAGGGTGTCATGATTCATGCTCCTGGAATGTTGCCATGTCTCACTGCATGCACCTGATGACCCACCAATGCTCACCTGGGCCTGTTTGATTATTTCCACCTGTGTTCCCCATAATTTAGGCTCCCTGCAGACAGAGTTGCAGTGCCAGAACATCACAAGTTTTATGGAGACCAGAAGAGACATTCTCCAGCCAGGTTAACTCGACTCGACTCAACTCAAGCCATGCCAGTCCTTCTTCCTGGGCTTCAGCATTTCTGCTTAATGAATGAACTTGTGTTGTTTGTTTCCATCCAGCGTGTTGGATGAATACTTGGGTCCAAACCCCCCTCTGATCATTACACAGGATGGGTCTTTCTCTTTTCTTACCTCCACAACAAATTATTAAAAGAAAAAAGAAGCGACTTGAAGAACCAAATGAGTGTTGCACCATCGTTTCTGAATACTAAAACCTAGAGGCGATGATAATTTGGCTTCAGTGTCATTCCAGGGTAAACCTTTAACAGCTTATCCAGTGTTCTGGATGTTTGTCAATCACCTCAGCATATTCTGGAACCATCCACCAGAGGATGGATTTTATTTGTTTTTTGGCTTTGTCTGTTTGTTTCAATTCATTTCAAGTTTATTTATGTAGCGCCATATCACGGCAAGAGTCGTCTCAAGGCACTTCACATAATAAACATTCCAATACAAGTCAGTTCATTAGGCCAATCAGAAAAAAGTTTCCTATATAAGGAACCCAGCAAAGTGCATCAAGTAACTCACTGGTGTCAGTGACTTTACAGCAATCCTCATACTAAGCAAGCATGCAGCGACAGTGGAGAGGAAAACTCTCTTTTAACAGGAAGAAATCTCCAGAGGATCCTGGCTCGGTATAAGCAGCCAACCACCACAACTCACTGGAGATCGAGAAGACAGAGCGCACACACACGCACACACACACACACACACACACACACACACACACACACACACACACACACACACACACACACACACACACACACACACACACACACACACACACACCATATATACCAAGTAATGTTTCTATGGTTACACTGTGATTTCTTAGTAAATATTAAGTAAATAATAATATATTTTGTCCCTGTTTGGTTTTAAAGAGCAAGTAATGTCTAAATGAACTTTTCTTTTGCTAATAATCTGTATAAATGAGAGCCTAATGGTGCTGTAGACATGTGTAATCATTAGTGTGGCAGTTTAGTGCAACTTACTTTAAATTTAATATTTCAGCCCAAAACCATAATTATATCTCCATCTTCAGGTTAAAAACTCTCCGCATTTATGTAGAACCAGCTGTGGCTGATGGCTAAGCTGAAAAACGTGACACCAGCAAATTACTACGTGGCTGCACTGCACTGGTCTCCAGGTGAGGCA